GGCCCTCGTTTTCAGGCTTTTAGGCTGAAACGACACAGGGCCTGTAGGCCCTCGTTTTCAGGCTTTTAGGCTGAAACGACACAGGGCCTGTAGGCCCTCGTTTTCAGGCTTTTAGGCTGAAACGACAAAGGGCCTGTAGGCCCTTGTTTTCAGGCTTTTAGGCTGAAACGACACAGGGCCTGTAGGGCCCTGAATTTCCATCTGGTCGGGCCCTGCAGGCCCGTGTGGCTGCGCAGTATGCCACACATCGGCAACGCGAAATCCAAGGATCACCAACATGGAGGAGGCAAACAAATGCAACAAAGCTGAAGACCCAATTCAGTCACGGACTGACCTATAAAATGGGGGACACATCTGAGAGCTCATACTCAGCAGGGAGAGGTGCATACATGGAAGAAACCTCGCAGGTGGGCATGCAGCAGGACGTTCAAACCCCTGCAAAGCACACCGATGTAACTGATGCATCAGGACTGACTTTAGTGACCTATGAATGCGTCCTCTTATCCTCTTGTCTGTCTGTTCGTAGCATGTGGATGTGATGCTGATTCTGCTCAAAACTCTAAAAGATTTAATTTAAGCGCTCTATTTTTGTTTATGTTTACACTCTCTTTTTCTTCTTGGGAGTTGTCTCTCGCTCGATTTGAGGGTAACCTTATATCCAATGGTTAGGAGTTGGTCTTACCCAGTAATCCGGCCAACAGATGGAGACATTGTGGGGGACAGGAGAGAGAGCTTACCAGTCTCGGTCCTTCTTCATAGTCGAACCTGAGAGCTGACGCCATGAGCCCATCTAGATGCTGTCCCACGCGCGTTCCACCCTGTCATGAGCAGACGAGTCCATGAATTTGGATTTGAACTGTGAAGCAATCAACATCACCACCGCTCATTAATCAGGCTCTCCTTGTTTTGTTGGCCCCTGCAAAAAGACAGGAGACCAAATAGACATACAATTGTGGTCACTCGTGATCGCCGAAATTTCAACACACTGCCCATCACCCTCTTTGTCGCTGGTCACACACAGACTGCCTCATTTAACAAATAAGCAACAATCGCCTTGATAGCACCACACGTGAAGAAAGAGAAGCATTCGGCATGGTGCAAAGGACCTTTTGCTTCTTTTCTTTTTTGGGCAAAAAACGGCAGTCCTGAAGATAATTGTACCTTTCTGATTTCGACATGATTCCAACGTACAATTATCAATAATGGCATGCGTTTATTGTGCCTTTCTGATTTTGACACGATTCCAACGTACAATTATCAATAATGACATGTGTTTACCATTGAGACACATGGGCTCGGTAGGATGCAAAGGACTTTGTGTTCCAGAGCATTGTAGGTCTCCAGTGGGAGAGGCAGTGCTGCTGCCTCGTGAATGTGACATCCTCGTAGATAAATATGTTTGATTTGTCTCTTCTCTAGTGAAACAGTTTTCACCTTTGGCAGTAGCCGATGCAGATCCCAGGGGTCGATCCCTTGACCTCAGCTTACCTGTGTACAGTATCTGTACAGTTCCCTGGAGTTGAACCCGTGACCTGCACGATAGCCAGTGGTAAGTAGGTCACCGTAGGTTGTAGGCTGTAG